TCTGCCGGCCCCGCAGCTGCGCTTGACGGCCCCGCAGCTGCACCCGCCGGCCCGCCGCAGCACCTGACGGCCCCGCCGCTGCACCTGCCGGCCCGCCACTGCACCTGCTGGCCCGCCGCACCACCTCACGGCCCCGCCGCTTCACCTGCCGGCCCGCCGCTGCACCTGACGGCCCCGCCGCTACACCTGCCGGCCCGCCGCACCACCTCACGGCCCCGCCGCTGCACCTGCCGGCCCGCCGCTGCACCTGACGGCCCCGCCGCTGCACCTGCCGGCCCCGCTGTTGCACCTGCCGGCCCGCCGCACCACCTGACGGCCCCGCCGCTGCACCTTCCGGCCCGCTGCTACACCTGCCGGCCCGCCGCTGCACCTACCGGCCCCGCCGCCCCAGCAGCCGAGCCGCCGTAGCAGCCGAGCCGCCTCCAGCAGCCGAGCCGCCGCAGCAGCCGAGCCGCCCCAGCAGCCGAGCCGCCCCGAGCGCCGAGCCGCCCCAGCAGCCGTGCCGCCCCAGCAGCCGAGCCGCCCCGAGCCGCCGAGCCGCCCGAGCCCTCCCTGCACTGCCCTGTCTGGTGAGCACTGAGCTTTACTCTGCGCACTGTCCTCACCCTACTGCTGTCATGGCTACCCCCAGTGTTCTCACTTTTGACGCTGAGGGCAGAGCCATCGACTTTGACGTGTGGGTAGACGACCTACTGCTTTTCCTACAGTGCGACAGAGCTGACGGACTCTCTCTCTTTGATCTCACCTCTGGTGCCTCTCCCGCCCCTGCTGCTACTGAGGATGCCACTGTTCGCTCCCAGTGGGCCACTCGCGATGCTGCTGCACGTCTTGCTGTGCGTCGCCACCTCCCCCCTGCTGAGCGTGCGCACTTTGGGTCGTACAAGAGTGCTAAGACCTTGTACGACGCCGTTATTGCACGCTACTCCACCCCTGCCACTGCTGCACTGAGCCGCCTCATGCTACCGTACCTCTTTCCCGACCTTGCTGCTTTTGCCACAGTCGCCGACCTCATTACCCACCTGCGCACTAGTGACGCTCGCTTCCGCGCTGCGCTTCCTGCTGAGTTCTGCGCCAAGAACCCCCCCCCCCAGTACTTCACTCTCTACTACATTGTCACCCGCCTCCCTGACTCCCTTCGAGGAGTCAGGGACGACTTACTCTCAGTCTGCCCCACCACTCTCACCGTTGAGCTCCTCGAGAAGTCCCTCCTAGCGGCCGAGAAGAGCATTTTCGCTGTAGGGGCCTCTCGTGGTGACCCGCGCACCCCCATCTTTGAGGGGTGTTCCCCCTCCCCCCTCCTGCCCTCTGTTGCCTCTGCTGCTACGGCCGACCTAGTTGGTTTTGAGTCGGTCGGTGCGGCGTCTGCCCCCAGTGGGAGACGTCGCTCTGGCAAGAGCAAGGGAGGCAGGGGCGGTGGGGGAGGCGGCGGGGGCGGTGGAGGCGGCGGTGGAGGCAGCGGAGGAGGTGAGGGTGGTAGCGGGAGTGGTGGCGGGAGTGGAGGTGTCAGCGGCGGCAGTGGAGGCGGGGGCGGCAGTGGCGGTGGTGGTGGGGGTGGAGGCGGAGGCGGTGGTGGGGGTGGCGGCGGAGGCGGTGGTGGCGGCAGCGACGGTGGAGGTGGCGGTGGCGGTGGAGGTGGTGGCGGTGGCGGCGGAGGAGGCGGCGGAGGGGGCGGCGGCGGTCGTGGCTCGTCGCGGAGGAGTGGCTCCGGTGGTGGTCAGCGCCAGCAGCAGCAGCGTGGTCAGGAGACCCTCTCCCCGCAGCAGCTCCGTGAGTGGTACGCTGCACGTCAGAGGGGTGGGGGTACTGGTCCGTGCACCTACGTCCTGCGCACTGGCGACCGTGCGGGTGAGCAGTGTGGTGGTCCTCACTCCGTTCAGCGCTGCTTCGGCCGCCTGACTGACGCTTGGCGCCGCCAGTTTCCTGACGCCTCTGAGATCCCTCGCTGGGACCAGCTGTCTAGGGCAGGAGTAGCTATCTTTGATCTTGACTTTGATGCTATTCTTCGTGCCATGTATGCTGTGACTATTAGTGAGGAGGGTGACTGTTACCGGTGTTTCCCGCCTGACCCGGGCATTGGTACTGCGGCTCTAGGTGCTGTTGAGGCTGCTGCTCCAGGTGCTGGTGAGGCTGTCGCTCTAGGTGCCAGTGAGTCTGTGTCCTCAGGTGCTGGTGAGTCTGCTCTCTCAGGTACTGCGTCGGCTCCGCCCTCTCTCACCTTCACTCTTGACTCTGGGGCGTCTCGCTCCTTCTTTCGAGACCGCACCACACTCACGCCGCTCAGTCGGCCAGTGGCGGTCTCCCTGGCGGACCCCTCTGGGGGTCCTGTTCTGGCTCGCTACTCCACTGTCCTGCCGTGCCCTGCGGTCCCGTCCGGCGCCCTGTCCGGTCTCTACCTCCCCTCGTTCTCTACGAACTTGGTGGCGGGTGCTGACCTACAGGATGCAGGGGTTGACCAGTTCACCCCTGCGCGCCGACGGGTCACCCACTGCACGGACGCGGACACGGGTCGACACTTGACCACGTTCACACGTGGGCCGGGGTCGAGCCTGTACACACTCACTGTTCCGTCTCCTCCTCCTGCGTCTGGTCAGGTAGCAGCGTCGGGCCAGGTGTTTGCTGCAGCGTCCAGGTCTGGTCCTGAGTCTGCCCCCTGCTCGTGTCGCCTCCTGTCTCACGAGACCCTCCTGTGGCACCACAGGATGGGTCACCCCTCCCTGCCTCGTCTCCGGGGCATGGCCTCTCGCCTTCTTGTCTCTGGTCTTCCTCGGTCCCTCCCTCCCCTTCCTCCGGGGCCTGGTCCTCCCTGTGTCCCCTGTGTCGAGGGTCGCCTGCGGGCTACCCCTCACTCCTCCCCCTTTCCTCCGACGGAGGCCCCGATGCAGACGCTTCACATGGACGTGTGGGGCCCAGCCCGCGTCCGTGGACAGGGTCACGAGCGCTACTTCCTGCTGGTGGTTGACGACTACTCGCGTTACACCACGGTCTTCCCCTTGCGCAGCAAGGGTGATGTCACTGAGGTGTTGATCGACTGGATCCGCGCAGCTCGTCTCCAGCTCAGGCGGAGCTTCGGCTCGGACTTTCCTGTTTTGCGTCTGCACTCGGACAGAGGCGGAGAGTTCTCCTCCGGCCTTCTGCGAGCCTACTGTCGTGCACGAGGCATCCACCAGACCTTCACGCTTCCGGACTCTCCACAGCAGAATGGGATTGCTGAGCGCCGCATCGGCATTGTCATGGATGTCGCCCGTACGTCCATGGTGCATGCGGCTGCCCCCCATTTTCTGTGGCCGTTTGCGGTGAGGTACGCCGCGCACCAGATCAACCTTCAGCCCAGGGTCTCTAGACCGGAGACCTCCTCAGCTCTGCTGTGGACGGGGAAGGTTGGCGATGCGTCGGCGTTCCGTGTCTGGGGATCTCGGGCGTTTGTCCGCGACTTGTCTGCGGACAAGCTGTCCCCTCGTGCTGCTCCTTGCGTCTTCCTGGGTTTCCCCCCTGACGCCCCTGTGTGCCATTTTTACCACCCCACCTCTCGTCGTGTTCTGTCCTCTCAGGACGTCACGTTCGACGAGTCGGTCCCCTTCTACCGGCTCTTCCCCTACCGCACTTCCTCCCTTCCCCCACCGCCCCTCTTCCTCGTCCCAGGTCCCCCCCCGGTAGACCCCCTCCCCCCTCAGGGTCCTGCCCCTTCTGGTGTTTCTCAGGTAGACGCGGTTGAGCCTGTTGAGGTCACTGGTGACTCTGGTGCTGCTGCGGGTGCGGAGCCTCGGGGTACTGAGCCTGGGGGTGCTGAGACTGGGGGTGCTGAGCCTGGGGGTGCTGCGACTGGGGGTGCTGAGCCAGGGGGTGCTGAGACTGGGGGTGCTGAGCCTGGGCGTACTGCGACTGGGGGTGCTGAGCTTGGGGGTGCTGAGCCTGGGGGTGCTGAGCCTGGGAGTACTGCGACTGGGGGTGCTGAGCCTGGGGGTGCTGAGCCTGGGGGTACTGCGTCTGGGAGTGCTTCGCCTGTTGCTCCTCTTCCTGGTGGTTCGAGCCGCGAGCCGCTCTCTCCTCTGGAGCTACGTGAGTGGTTTGCCCGGCGCTGGAGGCGCGCTGCTGGAGCTGGAGGTGCTGCGGGTGGTGGCGCTGAGACTACGACTGTCCGTCCTCCTGAGGGTACTTCTGGCTCTGCTGGAGGTGCTGGAGTTGGAGCTGCTACTGGTGCTGGTGCTGCCTCTGGAGGTGTTGGTGCTGTCTCTGCTGTCTCTGGCGGTGCTGCGCGGCCTCGGCCGTACTTCGTTCCGCTCCTCCAGCAGGTTCTTGGTCTCCCACCTTCCACTGGTCCTTCTCCAACCGTAGAGTGTCCACAGCCTGTTCCGTCGCAGTCACGGTTACAGCCCGCCTCTCCCCTGCCTTCTCCTTCTCCCTACGCTGGTCCTACTGGAGGTCTTGCTGAGCGTCGTGAGCCTGCGTCCCGCCCTGCGTCGCCAGTCCGAGCTACTCGCCCTAGTGGTCGCGGTTCGCGTCAGCGTCCTCCTCCTGTCCCTGGCACGCACCAGATGTCTCTGCGTCCGTCCACTGCTCCTCTGCGTGCCCCTTTGCCTTCTCCTCCTGAGTCCTCTCTTCCTACTCTTGACGACCCGGAGTCGGACTCTCGCCGTGCTGCCAGTCCTACTGTCACGCGTCTTCTTGCTTCTCTTGTCACTGACCCTTCCTTTGAGTCCGCTGCTGCGTCTGCCCTAGTTGCGGAGCTGGTCGACTTTGCTGCTGCGTGTGGTTTAGACTACGCTGCCAGTCTTGTTGCTGCGTCTGCTGAGTCTGCTGAGTCTGCGTCTGCTGCGTCTGCGTCTGCCTGTCCTCCGTCCGTCGGGGGTGACTGTGCTCTTGGCACGGATGTCCTTGAGGACAGGCAGGAGGAGTTCCAGTGCTTTGCCGCCGCTTTGCCCCATCTTGTGTCCATGCTTGTTGCCCCTGAGGGAGACCCGGATGCTCTAGACATCCCGACCCCACGCTCTTACGCAGAGGCGATGGCCGGTCCCTACTCCTCACAGTGGCAGTCAGCCATGGACGCAGAGATGGCTTCCTGGAAGTCCACAGGCACCTACGTGGACGCTGTTCCCCCTCCTGGGGCGAACATTGTCAGTGGCATGTGGATTTTCAGGGTGAAGCGGCCGCCGGGTTCTCCGCCTGTCTTCAAGGCGCGCTACGTGGCTCGTGGCTTCAGTCAGCGACAGGGAGTTGACTTCTTTCAGACCTTCTCCCCGACCCCGAAGATGACCACTCTTCGGGTTCTGCTGCACGTCGCTGCTCAGCGTGACTACGAGCTACACTCTCTTGACTTCAGCACTGCTTTCCTGCAGGGCCGCCTGCACGAGGAGATCTGGCTGCGCCGCCCTCCTGGTTTCACTGGGTCGTTCCCTCCTGGTACCCAGTGGAGCCTCCGGCGGCCAGTCTACGGTCTCCGCCAGGCGCCGCGCGAGTGGCACGACACACTGAGGACTACACTTGCGGCTCTTGGGTTTGCTCCTTCTACTGCTGACCCGTCGCTGTTTCTGCGCACCGACACCTCGCTGCCGCCGTTCTACATCCTCGTGTACGTCGACGACTTGGTCTTTGCCACTGCGGACACTGCCGCACTCGCCCACGTGAAGTCCGAGCTGCAGAAGAGACACACGTGCACAGACCTGGGTGAACTGACAAGCTATCTTGGCTTGCGGATCACCCAGGACAGAGCACGCCGCACCATTACCCTGACTCAGTCACACATGGTGCAGCAGGTCCTTCAGCGCTTCGGCTTCACGTACTCCTCGCCTCAGTCCACTCCTCTGCCTACGGGACACTCGCTCTCAGCTCTGCCTTCGGATGAGTCCGTAGAGTCGAGTGGTCCGTATCCAGAGCTTGTGGGCTGCCTCATGTACCTGATGACCTGCACTCGACCTGACCTCGCATACCCTCTCAGCATCTTAGCACGCTATGTCGCTCCCGGCCGTCACCGGAAGGAGCACATGGATGCAGCTAAGAGGGTGTTGCGCTACTTGTGCAGTACGTCGGGCATGGGGCTAGTGCTTGGAGGGCGTGAGCGGCCTGTGCTCACTGGGCACTCAGACGCTTCTTGGGCTGACGACCAGGCTACTCAGAGGTCGTCTCAGGGTTACACCTTCAGTCTTGGCTCTGGCTCTGTCTCTTGGCGCTCTACTCGCTCTTCTTCGGTTCTCAGCTCCAGTTGTGAGGCTGAGATCTACGCCACGGCCATGGCTGCCCAGGAGCTTCGCTGGCTCACCTACCTGCTGACTGACCTTGGAGAGCGGCCTCGTTCTCCTCCAGTGCTGTACGTCGACAACAAGGCAACCATTGCCTTGTGTCAGGAGCACAGACTGGAGCACAGGACGAAGCACATTGCTCTGCGCTACTTCCTTGCTCGAGAGCTGCAGCAGCGTGGTCAGCTTCACCTGCGTTTCGTGGCCACTGAGGCCAACACTGCTGATGTGTTCACCAAGGCACTTCCGCCTCGTGACCATCAGCGCTTTTGCACTCTGCTAGGTCTTGTGCCCACTGGGCCTCACTTGCTTACCTCTTGACCTTGCTTGTACTGCTGCATATATATATCCTTGCTCTTGCTTGTTTAGCACTGTTATATATATATGCTCTGCTGCATGTGAACTGGCCTTGTGGCCTTGACCTTGTGCTCGGAATTTGTGTGGTATCCTTGAGATCCACCCTGAGCTTGCTTTGCTTTGCTTTGCTTTGCTTGACTGGTCTTGTGACCCCTTGCTCTCCCCCACTTTGCCTATGGGGGTGTGTCAGATGATTATATATTGCTGATGCATATATGTAGGCTGTAGTGGGGTAGCCCATATGGGGTACAACCCAATTAGGGTTGGTACTTGTACTTGTTTCATTTCATAGTGCATCATTCCTCTCTCAACTCAACATCACCGCCACACTACTCACCAGAAGAACGACTTGACGAAACCACACCTCGACGCGAGTCACTTCAGCCGAACCCGACATACGCCGCCATCGCTCAAAGCGAGCCATCCGGAAGAGACACTTGGTTCTTGGACAGTTGCTGCGGACAACACATGTGCTCCTCAGGACGTTTCGTTCAACGCGAGCACCGACTTCAACGAGAAGTCGTCATCACCGTCGCCAATAATCAGAACCTGCGAACAAGACGACAAGGCATAGTACAGCTTCAGTCACGGGAGACGAACATCGTACTACAAATGTCAAAAGTCCTAATAGCAGAGGGACTCGGCTACAACTTACTTAGCGTCAGTCAGCTGATGGCGAAAGGCATACACCTGGAAGCCAACAGCACCACCCAGGAGTTCAAACTGTACCACGGGAAGGGCGGCCTCTACATCGGAAAGGCGGTTCTGAAGAATAACGTCTTTGTCCTTGACTTCGTCCCAGACCTGGGAACCGCAGACAGCGACGCCATCGTGAACTTCGCCGACTGGACGCACCCTCCAGATCTTGATCCAGACTTCAGCCCGGAAGGCTTCTGGTACTCGCATACCATCCCTGAAGCAGAACGAACACGCGCGTTAGCAACAATTCAACATCCAGCAGCAGCAGAGACAACATCGGCAGCAGCAGAAGCAGCAGAGACAACATCGGCAGCAGCAGAAGCAGATGAGACAACATCGGCAGCAGCAGAACCAGCAGAAACATCATCGGCAGTAGCAGAACCATCGTCAGCGACACCAGTTCTCGTTGACGAAGCACCACCAACACTCGCACAGCAGCTGCACCCAACTCAACGAGAAGTCCACAGAAGCGCAAACTTCGTCGCCAGCTTCTACTCCAACTCCGATGCGTATCGACGCTCACCCGGACACCACGCCTCCAAAGACATCTAGCACGCACGCATCGGACATCCAAGCAACACCGTGTTAAATAATACAATAAGAGCAGGAGTCCTAGACAAACATTCATTACTACTACCCGACGGCAGAGAACTTCAACGGGCACGAGGAACTTGCCTCACCTGCCCCGAAGTCGACTTACCACATCGACCGTTTACTCCTCACCACAACCCGAGCGCACCCGCGTACGCACCCCTCGAGAAGGTGTACAGCGATATTCTCTTCAATCGAGAACCAGGACAAGTTACTTACAACTACACGATAACCTTCATCGATGCCGCCACTCGATACGTCTGGCACCTAAACCTACCCAGCCGCGACATGGTGTCACAACATATAGCTTATACATTTGTGTAGGCTGTAGTGGGGTAGCCCATATGGGGTACAACCCAATTAGGGTTAGTACTTGTACCCAACTCTTTCATAGTTGAATCATTCTCGTTTCAATTATCACATGGTATCGAGCAGGTTCCCTCGTGGGAACTCTTCCTAAGGCCCTACTACTACTTCCGCTGCTACTCGATCTGTCGCACGCCCCGCGGCGTGCGATTTTCTTTCTAGCGCGCGCCCCGAGGCGCGCGACCCCGCCTCTCTCATCGCGGCCCCGCCCCTTGTCGCGGCCCCGCCCTACGTCGCGGCCCCGCCCTACGTCGCGGCCCCGCCCTACGTCGCGGCCCCGCCTCTCGTCGCGGCCCCGCCATCTCTCGTCGCGGCCCCGCCACTCTCGTCGCGGCCCCGCCCTTTGTTGCGGCCCCTGCCGCCCTTCGTCGCGGCCCCTGCCGCCCTTCGTCGCGGCCCCTGCCGCCCCTCGTCGCGGCCCCTGCCGCCATTCTCCACCGCGGCCCCGCCACCTCCCTTGCGGCCCCGCAGCCCTGCACCGACCCGGCCCCGCCTCTGCTGGCCCCGTCGCCTGCCCCTGCGGCCCTGGCTCCACCTCTGCCGGCCCCGGCGCCGCCTCTGCTCGCCCCGTCGCCGCTCCACCCGGCCCCGCCGCCGTCCCCAGGCGGCCCCGCCGTCACCACCGAGCCGCCGGCGCCGCCGAGCTAGTGCCGAGTCACCCGAGCCGCCCGAGCCGCCCGAGCCGCCCGAGCCGCCCGAGCCACCCGAGCCGCCCGAGCCGCAGCGCCACCTCAGCCGCCCGAGCCGCCGGGTCGCCGAGCCGCCGAGCTGCAGTTGCTGCCAGGCAGCCGTAGCCGCCGAGCCGCCCGAGTCGCCCGAGCAGCCGAGCCGCCCGAGTCGCCCGAGCCGCCGAGCCGCAGTTGCAGCAGTGCTGCCGTGCCGCCGAGTCGCCGAGTCACCGAGTCGTCAAGCTTGCTCTTCCCACCACTGGTGAGCCCCTGCCTTACTAGAGCGCTGCCTACTGCTTGCTTGGCTGCCTGCCTTACTGCTGCTACTCCTGCTCCCGCTTCTACTGGCGGCGGCCAGATGTAGCTCAAGCGACGCCCACGCGCGTCTCTCACGCCCCAGCAGCTTTGTGAATGGTACGCTCAGAGTAGAGGGTCTCTCAGTTCTGTTCGCTGCTCTTACGTGATTCGCACTAGTGCTCGGACTGGTCAGCCCTGTGGGACGCCTAGTCACACACCGTCCCGCTGCTTCGCCCGTCTGAGCGACGCCTGGCGTACCGAGTTTGGCGACGAGGCTGAGCTCCCCGACTGGGTGGAGTTGCTTAGGCAGAGGGTAGATATATTTGCTCTTGACTATGATGCTATTCTCACTGCCATGTATGCATTGCCTACTAGTGCTGACCGTGCCGGTCACCTGTGCGTACCGCCTGACCCGGGTATAGAGCCTGCTGCTCTAGCTGATGGTGCGGCTGCTGCTCTGGGTGCTAGTGTGTCTCCTACTCCAAGTACAGGTGCGGCTGCTGCTCTAGGTGCTAATGAGTCTGCTTCCTCAGGTGCGGGTGAGTCTGCTCTCTCAGGTACCGCGTCGGCTCCGGCCTCTCACACCTTCACCCTTGACTCGGGGGCTTCCCGCTCCTTCTTTCGAGACTGCACCACACTCACGCCGCTTGGTCGGCCAGTTGCAGTCTCTCTGGCAGACCCCTCTGGGGGCCCTGTCCTTGCTCACTTCTCCACTGTCCTCCCGTGTCCGGCGGCCCCCTCTGGCACCCTGTCTGGTCTTTACCTCCCCTCGTTCTCGACGAACTTGGTGAGTGGTGCTGACCTGCAAGATGCGGGGTTTCACCAGTTCACTCCTGCGAGTCAGCGGGTGACCCACTGCACAAACGCTCAGACAGGCCGACACCTGGCCACGTTTACTCGTCGGCCGGGGTCGAGCCTGTACACACTGACCATTGCGTCTCCTCCAGTTGCTGAGCCTGGTATGGTAGCTGCGTCGGGTCAGGTGTTTGCTGCAGCATCCAGGTCTGGTCCTGAGTCTGCTCCCTGTTCGTGTCGTCTCCTGTCTCACGAGACTCTCCTCTGGCACCACCGCCTTGGTCACCCCTCTCTGCTTCACCTCCGAGGCATGGCCTCTCGTCTTCTTGTTTCTGGTCCCCCCCGGTCCCTCCCTCCCCTTCCTCAGGGCCCTAGCCCTACCTGTGTCCCCTATGTCGAGGGGCGGCACCGTGCTGCCCCTCACTCCTCCCAGTTTCCTCCGACAGAGGCCCCGTTGCAGACGCTTCACATGGACGTGTGGGGCCCAGCCCGCGTCCGTGGACAGGGTCACGAGCGCTACTTCCTGCTAGTTGTTGACGACTACTCGCGTTACACCGCAGTCTTCCCCTTGCGCAGCAAGGGTGATGTCACTGAGGTGCTGATCGACTGGATCCGCGCAGCTCGTCTCCAGCTCAGGCAGAGCTTTGGCTCGGACTTTCCTGTTCTGCGTCTGCACTCGGACAGAGGCGGAGAGTTTTCCTCTGGCCTTCTGAGAGCCTACTGTCGCGCACGGGGCATCCGTCAGACCTTCACGCTTCCGGACTCTCCGCAGCAAAATGGGATTGCTGAGCGCCGCATTGGCATGGTCATGGACGTCGCTCGTACGTCTATGATGCATGCGGCTGCACCCCATTTTCTGTGGCCGTTTGCGGTCAGGTACGCGGCGCATCAGATCAACCTTCACCCCAGGGTCTCCAGGCCGGAGACCTCCCCAGCCTTGGTGTGGACGGGGAAGGTTGGCGATGCGTCGGCGTTCCGGGTCTGGGGATCTCGGGCGTTTGTCCGCAACTTGTCTGCGGACAAGCTGTCCCCTCGTGCTGCTCCTTGCGTCTTCCTGGGGTTCCCCCCTGACGCGCCTGGGTGGCAGTTCTACCACCCCACCTCTCGCCGTGTTCTGTCCTCCCAGGACGTCACGTTTGACGAGTCGGTCCCCTACTACCGCCTCTTCCCCTACCACACTCCGTCCCTCCCCCCGCCCC